GTGTTTTTAATTTATTTTCTGAAACATTCATCGTGTACGTGTTTCTTGTGTTGCATCTTTGAGTGAGTTGGATTAAAAAGAAACATGAATTCTGTGTTTATCCAAAGTTTTTGATATCGAAATAGCTTCACAACATTTGTGAAAAGATAAATATGAAAGAAAAAATGAGAAATAAAAGAAAAAATCTTAAGTTCTAAACGCAAATCTTAAATTCAACATTTCTCGCCTAACTTAGCTGCCAAAATGCTATACTCTTGTATATAGATTGACCTCTCAGAAACACTAGGCAATCCAGCTATAAGACACTGCTATTCAGAATCGATGGTTCCTAACAAAATACAACAATATGGTTCTTTTAAGTTCTTGCATTTGAATGAACTTTCCAAATCCCAACCACTGACAAAAAGAGTCGGGTTGGTGGTGCAAATCCTATTTCTTCACGAACTCAGCGAAGCTATCATTCTGATATCTTATAACATGCATGGAATTGCCCATTGCCATTTATAATCGAGTATAAGATCATTGACGCTCGATGCTAAAACTTTCGTATTAAATGTGTATTAGTGTATGACATTACTTAGACATAGTCTTCCGCCAGTCAGCTTGTTTGCACACGCCACTTTGACCGCTGGTCGCTCGTTTCGATCTGCAACATTTTGCCTCTTCAATTAAACCGATGCCAGTTTGAGTATTTGTTTTCGAGCTTCGATAAAGTCCTGTGATAAAACGATTACTCTCACTACATTTGGACCAACCCTTCTGGTTGAAACTTTTCCACCAGTCAGCATTCAAACATTTTGGAGGAGGTTTCGCTGTATCAAGTAAATTCACGCTTTAACCAAATCTTATGTAAAGATACATTGTGGGTACACAAACACGTAAGTATTTGATACTGCAAAGCTTTCGGTCCGATAACCCGGGCCTTCATCATTATATTGTGATATCACCATAGCAAGAATATTGTTACATTGGGATTGCTTTTTTTCATTAGTTTTCGTTTAGAAAGTTGTGCGTGTTGATTAGTTTGGTTGTTTAAACTGTTGTGTTTTTTTGTACACAAAACTTACTTGTCGCTTGAGTCTTCGGAATTGCTTGTTTTTTTGTCGCAGGTTTTGCTATATATAAAGATGGTTGGATTGAGCTAGTGAAGCGTACAAATGAAATAATTGTTTAAAACTTGTTAAATCTTTTATCATTTTCCACTTTTTTTTGGTAAATTGCGTACAAAACTAGTACTTACTTGTCGCTTGAGTCTTCGGAATTGCTTGTTTTTTTGTCGCATGTTTTGCTATATATAAAGATGGATGTATATTGAACTAGTGAATTAAGCATACAAATAAAAACATTGTTTAAAACTTGTTAAATCTTTTATCATTTTTCACTTTTTTTTTGGTAAATTGCATACAAAACTTACTTGTCGCTTGAGTCTTCGGAATCTCTTTCCCACTTGCCATATATTTTGCTATATAAAGATCATTATATTGAACTAGTAAAGCATATACAAATGAAATCATTGTTTAAGACTTGTTAAATCTTTTATCATTTTCCACTTTTTTGGTAAATTGCATGCAAAACTTACTTGTCGCTTGAGTTTTTGGAATTTCTGTTTCTGTTGTCGTATATTTTACTATATAAAAGATGATTGTATGAACTAGTGAAGCAAAGAACTGAATTCATTGTTTAAAACTTGTAATCTATTTTATCATTTTTCACTTTTTTTGGCAAATTGCATACAAAACTTACTTGTCGCTTGAGTCGTCGAAATTTCTGTTTCTTTTTTCATTTGTTTTGCTACATAAGAGATGATTCTATGAACTATAGTGAAGCATACAACTGAATTCATTGTTTATAAACTTGTAATCTATTTTATAATTCTTCACCCTTTTTGGTAAATTGCATACAAAACTTACTTGTCGCTTGAGTCGTCGATATTTCTGTTTCTTTTTTCATTTGTTTTGCTACATAAGAGATGATTCTATGAACTATAGTGAAGCATACAACAGAATTCATTGTTTAAACTTGTAATCTATTTTATAATTCTTCACCCTTTTTGGTAAATTGCATACAAAACTTACTTGTCGCTTGAGTCGTCGGAATTTCTGTTTCTTTTTTCATTTGTTTTGCTATACAAAAGACGATTTGATGAACTATAGTGAAGCATGAAAACTTAAAACTGTAATGTATTTTGGCATTTTCCATTTTTTTCTTGTAAATTGCGTGGAAAACGTACTTGTTGATTGAGATGTCGGAATTTTTTTTCTTTCTTCGTAATCTTTGCTGTATATAAATAACCACATTAAATTGGAATAGTGCATGGGCAAATAAAATTATTTTCTAAATCAATTTTAAGCCGCTATTCGTTAATATCTGATATCTGTACGATTGAGAGGATATTCTCTTAGTCGATCTTGTAGCAGCTCCGCGGAAGAACAACTGCGAACGCGCCAAATTATAATAGCCGTAAAATTTAATGATCTGCATTAAGGAAAACAAACGAGGGAAGAATACACAGCGGCAGACTAGACATTCATTGGAAGCGTAAATTTGTTGATTTGTTGATATCGTCTTCTTTAGCACATCGTGGGACACAATTTCTATATAGCTGTATTTATGAGCTTGCTTGAAATATGGTGATTTGAGCCTTCGTGAGAACGTATCGAAGTACTTTTCAATGCTTTTAATTAGATGAAAAGTTGCCGGGTGTCCAGACATTTTCCGTACTGAGCGTGAACACGTCAATTCGGCAGGTCATTACAAAATTGGTTCACTCGTGTTAAATATCTTCCTCTGCATTTATATATCATCCTTCTCCAATTCATGCAAAATATTTAGTTTTCACTACGGGATTCAACATCTTATACTAAATTAAACAACTACAGACTTGAGGGTAAACAATTTTGATTTTTGGCACTTCACTCGTTGTAGGTAAATTGGCTGCAACCGTGCACAATTGCTCGAAAACAAGATACTATGTACAAAAGATAAAATCTCACGATATTATGATTTTACGATACTTTGACGATTGTTTTATAGCTATACTTAAAGTAAGCTATATCTGACTTTTACATGCATGCAATGCAGTTATACCTGCTGTAAGTTCCAACTTAGCCCCTCTAAGTAACTTAAGTAAGTTTAAAAAGTAATTGTACCATTGTGAAATACGGCTCCAACCTATATACACCACGTAGAACGTAACCCCCCCCCCTGTATAAAAATATACACCGTAGAACTTACGTGCACTCCTAATGACGCAGAGATGGTTATATTCAGGGCTTGTTTCCTCCACATCATTGGAACCCTCTTGCATTATCATATTGTTGAGCTCACAGCGACCTTTACCGACTCCAGAAATTTTGTAATTGGCTGACGCGCATGATCCATGTCGAAGGCAATGAAGACCACATTCTAGTTCCGTGTTCGTTTGTTTTGTTGCGATGACATGATTCGCCAAATATTTGTGCTTATTTTTGCGGAAGAAAGCCTGATTCGAGCATTCCACAAGCTGTTGACTTTTCAAAATAACTGATAATGCAAATGCGACTAGTACAGCAATTCCAGCTCTAAGGTAAAACGCCGAAGTCATATTTTACGATTGAGCAAGAAGCAAGTTTCGTGCGTTTGTTAAAATACTATCTGTTAAAATACCTGCTGGACTAAAAAAGTGTCCCTCTCTTTAACTAATCTTGGTAAAAAAACAAAACAAAGAAGCTATTCTATCTCATTTGAATAAATTGTGTTTACTGTGCCGAGCTTAAATTTTGACTTTCTAAGTTACATTCCTCGAATTATATAGACGTTTCAACCTAAAGTAATGAAAGGTAACATTTTTGGAGTAAGCGAAAAATGAAGTTAAGAATAGCGAGTACATCAAAGTTGTTTTTTTAAATTTCACTTTTAAGCAATAGAAAACATTTTCCGTAATTTTATAATATAATTCTCATTATATTACTTCGGTTGTCAAATTCAGCCAAAGTCCCGTGTTCGCGGCAAAATTGGACAACCCGGGCCTTCATCTTTGCCGCAAAATTGGACAATTTGCAAATGTGCTAAAATTACTTGGTTTTTTGACGGAGTTTTGTAAAATGCAGTAGCTAGCTACTTTGACAAGCAGAAGATAGAGGCTTCCCAGGCTTGTTAATTTTGTATACTTTGTATTGGGAGCGGACATTTTTGCGATATTCTGCCACAAAGTGATAAACGGGGAATTCATATGACAAACCGCGGCGCAGACGACATGACGTAATGCAAATTTTAGGCAAATATTTTTTTAATTCTCAGCTGATTCCTTTATATTTCGGTGCATAAGAATTGTAAAATTCGGATAATATATCCTTATACAAAGTTCGTGAATTTAAATACTATTTTAGTGTTCAACTTATTTGTTTTTACCGGCAATTAGCAACAATTCTTGCACACAGACACAGTATCGCTAGTTCGCTAGGCATTTCTTTCGCATTTTACAAAATTTTCCAACCAGACTTTGCAATTTCACTAATTTTGGTAAGATCTTTTCAGCTATACGGTTCATTTCTATTTCCTTGCCCAGGTCAAACATTTTTCTAGCAAGAAATTATCCACACTTAAAAGTTGCTAGAACATTTCGAAACTGTTTAATGATTATATAGTTTGCTATTTCAAACTTAAATGGAAGTGGTTGCTATAGTGTATAGCAGGTGGGCGTTTAAAATTGCATGATGTTTGCAGGGAAACTACCCCATGAGTGTGGAAATTATGAAAAGGTCTTTCACTTTAAATACCTTATGCCGGTAGCTTTAACGAAGGACCCTTTCTAGTGAAGTTCTTTTTGTATCTATCAGATAGACTTTAAAATCACATTAGATTACCCAACTTTGAAAAACAACAATAAGCTATAAGTTAACTGAAGGGCTATTTTAGAGGGGGACGGACGGAATTGAAGCCATTGTCCTTTGAAAATGTCTCAAGATATTAATGAGATATTTGGAGTGAAGCTTAATTCCATTATTATTGTTTTCATGTAGTCAACGATGGACATTTTGACGAGCGTCATAGCTGGCCGAGTGTACTCCCTCAACTTAAAAGATCTCCCGTTGGACAGACTCAGCGAACAGAAACACAAAAAACGAAGGCATTTGATGGCTTCCAAGAACAGGCCGAACGAGATCGACCGGGCAAAAGTCATTCCCAGTCCGTCGGTGCAAGAATCGAAACCGGAAGTTACGTCATCATCGGTAGCGCCCGTCGCCGTCGTGCCGAGCACCGTAACGAAACCTACCGAGCCTACGAAAAACGATCCTAGCGCTTCGCTTGTCGAAAATCAAGATAAACTCACGGCAGGTAACCATTGCACGTCACCGTCTTAGCTCTTTCTTCAACAGCAAATAGCGGCGATTCTTCAGCAAGCAAAAACTATGTTTACAGACAGGCCAAGCTTAGGTTTTGACTTTTTTTAAATGGACCAAACAATCTAGGCCTATCAGAATAGTGGCATGTTTAAAGCTAGGTCGGAAATTGCTGCTGATAGATTAAAATGTAAGATTTCTATATTCAGTGACCACTTTATTATACATTAGATACAGAGCACGAATACATTGCTGCATTTTCTACCAGACCCAGGATGCACAGACCCACTTGGTTTTGAAAAATCGCCACATTTAGACAAGTAGGGAACTAGAATTTAGCTGTATCGGTTCAAAAATATGCATATAAGCCCACACTGATCGTCAGGATCACTACGCTACCTGGACCGTAGCTGAAAGCTTAATTTGGGAAAGTGCATATTCGCATATTACTCTTCTTTATATCCAAATTCTTTTGGAAGGGAAGCTGTTGTTCCTCTACAGCATGTGAACCTGAATATATGAATATACACTCACCCCTAATTATGCCGTCTAGCTAAAATTTCCCTGTGCGCCACTTCTTAGCGGAGTTTTCCAACCTCGTGTGATATTTCAGAGAGATCAGAGGAACCCGACACTTCTGACAATGTTGCCCCAGCTGACGCAGAAACAATCTCCCAGGGTGCACTCGAGCAGGGATCTGAAAAAGGCTACGATTCCGACGTCACGGACTCCGGCAGTGAACTAAGCTTTGGGAAGACAACAGCAAAAGCTTTGCCTTCCGACACCGCGGATACCAGCCTCGGGATATTGGGAGTCTTCGATACCTGGCCTACCGCTGGCACGGGCTCTTCGAGGGAGGGCTCGTTGGACAGGGAGAGGGGCGCGATTTCGTCAATTCCGGAGGATGAGGAAAGTCTCAACGACAGCTCGAGTAAGGAATGCATCGATGTTTCGGTCAGTCAGGAAGCGTCTGACGAGAACGATGGTAGAGGTAGAAAAGATGCAAGAAAAGCCAAACAATTTTGGAAAGATAGCGACGGAGGTGATGATATTTCCTCGGACAGCGAGAACGTACCTGCTTCGTTTAGTAATCCTATTCACGGTGAGTAACGTTGAATCCGAAAGAAAGTTTTCTCAAACTGTAGCGACTTACGGTGCTTTCCTTTAAGCGGTCAAAATTGTCAAACTGGTCATATTTTGAATTGAAATAGATTATTTCTTTAGGAATACAGCGATTAACTACATTTCCCGTGCTAGGCAGTTGTAAATTACGATATTCTTGAATGCAGAGTTCTGAAACACTCTAAACTACTAGTAATATGTCTGTACTGAAATTCATCAAGATGAGTCTGGCCGTTTTTACCGTATAAAGGAGAGCGCTTATAGTTTGCCGAATAATTCAAAACGAAATTCCTCCAACATTTTCATTGTTAGAAGACGCCAGTTTCGACAGCGAGACTCCAGTGAGGACACAAATGACGCAGATGATGGACGAGCAGCACGTCACGTTGGAAATAGTGGAACCTTCGGTGCACAGCCTCGATATGGATACTGAAGTCAGCGTGGTCTGTGGTGGCACAAAAGAGGGGTGGACCCCCGTAGCTGCTGTTGTGCTGTGGACGAGAATGCTTGGCGTCTTGGGGAATATTAATAACATAGAGAATGCCTCAATACATGCACAGGTCCTTAATTCTCTGTCTGAAATATGGCATTTACTAGCCAAGGTATGATAATGCTTTTTCCCTAGGTACCATAACAAATGCACCATCATGCGTCCTGCAATGAAGCACTCGTTGATCTATACCATCGTCTACCAAACCGTACCTGGATGTATAATTATTGTCGTATTTCATTACTAACATTAGTATTCCCTTGTCTTATATAGATCAGATTAAATCAAGGTATTTCTGAAGACAATAAATCGACACCTTCGTTACCAAATCTGCTTCCGCCTTTGCACTATTTTGCTTCTTGGCTGTTCCAGGTATTAAGGTTTTTGAAACAGTTGGGTTACCAAAGTATTTTCGAAATCAAACGGGAGGTTTAATAGTTTAACTATTAAATAAAACTATTCAACAGCTTAGTTATTAGATTTGATATGTTTGATATTTTGTTTTTGTCTGAAACAATCGTAATTCCACTTTCTAAACTATTAAATGTAAATGAAAGAGTCATTCGAGTTTTTTTCACTCAAAAAAGCTTCATGGAATAACGAAAACCAAGCTTTGAAAAACCTATCCTATTTATGGTCGTATATCGTCATTAGTGTCGTCATCATCATTAGTGTTTCTATGTGTTGTCATAGCTGGAAATATACATTTTTTCAGGCAGCGTATCTACCACAGAAGTACAAGCAAGGTCGACTTATTGCCTATCAACTAATGTGTGAAATGACCGTAAGACGGCAAGATAATCCATTATCTGAAGACTATCTCAGACACTTTTATCGCTGTTTACACGATGGTCTTACAAACTCGGATCAGGTTAATGTTAGCTGCTTTTTCGTGCTTTGAACTGATCTAATTAAAGGCTGGCCTGGGTTTGGCAGTATAATCAATACTCAGACTAACAAGCTGCCATCAAATTGTATAAATTTTAAACGTATAGTTCTTATTTATTGTAGGATATTATCAATGCCATCATGAGTAAATGCGACAATTTCTTTGGCATGGTTTTGCCCAGTTCTTCTCTTCTTATCTTGGACTTCATGTACGCAGCAACAACGATTATCGAGAGTGCAAACACTGCGGTTAGTTTAACAATATATTATAATTATATGGAATGAAATCAGCGAGGTTCAAGTTTGACTTTCCCTTCAGCTAATGCATGAGGTAACATGAGCCAATCATATGCGATAATGCTATAAGATTAACCAATCACGAGCCGAATAAGCGAGTGAATAGTAGCGCGTCGTAGTGGAAACTCCACGTATATGAACCTCGCTATGACTACTGTAATATTTTTCAACACTCGAATGTCTTTCAATACTCCTGTTGTTGTTTATGTTATTATGTTGTTTTTGGCCGTTGTTGTCGCCTTTAATTGTTATCATTTTCAACAGTCTGTTAACTTCTCTCTTGCGTTCAGTATCCGAGAACAGAGGCTGTCACAATCCTAGGATCTCTTCTGTGTTATCCAAATGCTTTCCCGAACATGAAAATTTATCAGATTGAATCTGCAACGTTGAAAGACCAGCCTACGGTCACCCTTTGCCGGGAGATAAAGGTATTCGTGTTTCAAGCCGTCTTTCTGAATCATTTCAAGAGAACTCCAACCCGCCAGTATAAGACTGGGATTCCCTGTTTCCAGATTATTCAAAGCAACTATTGAATGTTAAACCATCGATTTCCTAAAACGTTTTCAGGACAAGCTGAGTGATACCCTGTACAAAGCTGCCGTCACAGATCCTGATTGCCACGCGAGGTATTTACGAAGTGTCTTCAATAGATCTAATACGCCTATAAATACTTTGTCGATATGCTGTTGACTTAATATAGCGTTAACTTAGCATATTAACTTGAGGTACGTTCGACTCCCAGCTATTGAGGGGAAGCTATAGTACATGTATGATTGAACTGTCGCTTTTTTTAAGGTGTACAGCGCTTTGCGCAATCGGAATATTTATCGTGGAAGAACTGACTCACAACAAAGGACACAATCGTATTCATGTTTACACTTCGCTTCTGCTGACATCCATTATGGTAGGTGTTTTGATGCCTGCATGCATGAAAATTGAAACACTTTCGTGTTATATCCAAGCTCACTCACATTCAAACTCTGTGAGAGAAGATTCCTGTCGATTCCATGACACATAAGAGCTTCAAATAAGAATTTAATTTGAATTTGTTTTACCTTGAATCTTTCCATTAAATAACGGAGTGGACTTTGACATTGATGAGTGTGAGTGAGCTTTCTGAATACAGGCGTTAGTTTGAATTAATGGTAAAATTTATGGCAGATCTGCATGTACATATAGGGTAGAATTGTTCTCGTTTTTCTGACGATTTTGTATACTTCCTTGATATTACAGTTTAAAAATTGTTCTGTATCCAGTGTGGCGATTGGCTTAGTCCAAAACCTTTCAGAATATCACGAACAACTGTCTAATTTTGATCAAGACCTTCCTTTGAAAATCCTTCAGGTGTGTGCTCAACATGATACATAATGTCTTTTATATTTTTCACTACATTGTATAAATAAATGGGCACTTTTTGAAATTATATATTTTATTTGCTTCCATCCTTGATATATCTTTCATCATTGCAGGTTTTATGTGAGGTGATCAGACGCTGTGTTAATGAAGGATCTGGATTGAACAGTTCTCATATCGTTAAGGTATCGTAAATCAGTACTACCAGTGCCATTGAACTGAAATAAAACTGGAACGCTCACTCTGCCGGAAGTTTGAAGCCAAGATGGCGGATCATGAAGCCTTTCTTGTAGGTATGATCCAGGCCTCCACGCAGAAATTTTGTCGGGAATTCTAATTTTCCTTTGAAGTTTCCGCGCCAGAGGCCTGGATCATACCTACAAGAAAGGCATCATGATCCGCCATCTTGGCTTCACTCATCAATGAGGGAAAGTCATAGAGTGAGCGTTCCAGTTTTATTTGAGTTCACTGACCAGTGCTAGTAAGCCATGCGGCAGTTCTGTCTAAAGGACAAGACCCCAATAATTGAATGTGGTTGTCATATTTAGATTCTTAATCCGTTGATGTTTTGTCTTCTGGATTGGGTTATGGTAATATCGCTGAGCTCTTTACTGAAGGTGCAAGAGAACAATCAAACCACTCTGGCCCAAGTGTTTCAGGTGAACAAACTTTGTTTTAAACCAGTCTTGAATTCATAATCAAAAGTACTGTGTGTTTTCGATCAATAACTTGAGAGTAGCATATATTGTCATATATCCTTGTTACTAAATCACTAAATCCACGAGGTTATCCGTGATAATCTCACTTAATCCGAGAGGCCATCGTTTGTATCTATCCCCTATAGTCTCCCCTATATATCCCCCATCGCTTGTATCTATCCATTATAATCTTTCCCCTAGGCTCTTAAATATGTTGTTTCGAACAATTCAACGAAATCCGATCGAGAATTCAGTATCAGTCGCATGATATCTCGTGAAGATCTCCAGATACACCTGGGTCAAATACATCAAGATATTGTCGACTCGGCTCCTTCTAGTCCCGCAGAGTTTGGAGACAGCGGTAAGTGATACGGCTAATTGCTGATAGTTCTTCATGTAACCAAGATTAGGGCCTGTTTACATGGAGCAAGTTATCCCGGCAAGGCGAGGTGAAAACTACTTATAATGAAAGACTAATCAGATTAAGCCTTTGATGTGATGCGCTTTATACCTCGCCTAGCCGGGATAACTCGCTCCATGTAAACAAGCCCTTAGACGTGGAATGGTGAGATATAAATTTGGTTATTAGCTGCTCGCTATTTTGATGTGAAAAGTTTTCTTGTCGTTTTAGGGTCAAATATTAGCGTTCAAACAATGGAACGCGTTAGGAAAACTGCAAAAGCGGTAAGAGTTATTTAGGCTAATTTGAAAGGTCATTTGTCGTACATTGTAGTTGTGTGGCACCTCTATTTAAACAAAAGTCCGGAAGTGCATTACATCATACAGAGCCTGATAAGGGTCTAAAGGTGTGCCGATTTCATTAGGTCATTTTACATATTGTCAATCATTTGAATCATTTTCCCCTGGCTGCTGGGGCTGCACGATTGACAAGCCTCGTCAACGAAAATCAAGACAATCCTTACTGCACTGAACAACAAGAGCTCACCGCTGCTGTTTTCTCGTCCCCCAATGCACAGGTAAGCTCTCTTATCATGTAATCGTTTCAGTTGTTTATTTTTGGTTTCATGATAAGTGAGGCGGTGGGCTTTTATTATTTCAAATAAAACGCTATTGAATGATAGGTAAAGGCGTGTACTTTATGATCTTTATTTTTTTTCTTTTCCCAGTTCTTTGTTGTAAACGATTCGTCGCTAATTTCTATGGTCGAGCTACCTATTCAAGTAAGTTCGCCACAAAGATGTTATTCGTCCTCAGACGTTTTTCTATTTGTGTTTTTTGTTGTGTGTAATTTGCCATAAAAAGCAATTTCAGTGGATTTGTCGAAACGATGCTTAACCTCCAACCTTAACAAAACTGACAGTCAAGGAGCAATCTATGGAAAAAATGGATTTGCCGCAAAATTTTGCAATGTTGCCCTTGAGTTTCAAGGTCTGTTTCTTGTTTTAGGACGTTGCTCCGAAAGACGAAAACTTGCTTTGTGGGAACACCACGGTTCGTCTCATCGTGCGAGACATGTGCGGAAAACATTGCCTGGATATTTCAACATTGTTTGGGCCTCGAATTGACACCGAACATTCTTTTCCGGGTACGTAAGATGGTGTAAGACCTTCGTGTATGTATTCCAAAGCAATTCCATTGCTTTGATATGTATTTATAGTATTGCTATTGCTATTAGTTGAATGATTAAAAGGTAAAAGGTAAAATTTAAGAAACAGTTGTTCATATTTTAGTGGTGCACCACTAACTTATAATATGTTTCAGGTGTTTTGAAAAGTATATTCAGCCAGGAAGAACTGGATGAAATATTGGACTCTGGCCAAAGCAGATCGCTTCGTCGGCAATCATCAGCGTCAATACAAACAGATAAAATCGACCAGGTGGAGTGAAGAATTTTTTGTATAATTTTGAAAGAGTGTAATTTTTGAAGAATAACACTCATTATTATTTCGAGCTATCGGTAAATAATTAATGTTATTTTGTAGTTACTAAAAGGCATTGGTTCAACCAGCCCAGAGTGTTTATTCTATCCTCATTTATCCCTAAACGAGCCCGCACCACCACCATATCCCCTGAACGAGGAAATGGAACAGTCGTTGATCGAAGCAATTCAAGTTCAAAAGGAAAGAGAAGAACAATTTTGCGACACTGCTCTTGATGACCCAAGGTTTGATTATGTTTTTCTTTCTTAACAAGGGACATGTGTGGATAAGAAGGGAGAGCTAGTGATATATACATCTTTCGATGGTCTTTTGTGGTTTTAGATTAAAAGGAAAGCCGGTGTTTCCAAAGAGTTACCAAGAACCCAGTAATCCATTTCATTTATCGCATTTCCTCTTTAACCAACTTGGAATGTTTGGTTGGGAAAAGAGGTAAGGAAGGCGCTTTTTACAAGTCATTATAATTTGACCTTTCAGGAGGAACCATTGTGTCTTTTTTATTTATTTTTCAATTATTTCACACGTAGATCGAGAATAGATTTATTGAAGAAGAGTGACAAACTCATACGAGAGTTGAAACATCTTGATAATAGAAAAAGGTAAGATAGTCATACTCGTGCTGTCCTGAATTAGTCATATTTTGTAAGTAGGAAAAAACAACAACAACAACAACAACAACAACAACAACAACGACGAAGACAAGAAGAAGAAGAAGACAAGAAGAAGAAGAAGAAGAACAACAATAACAATAATAATAATAACAATACATCACCTTTATGTATCTTTGATATTTTGTCGTCGTTATATTCAGTCGTGAAACGCACAAGATTGCGGTATTTTACGTGGCGCCTGGGCAGGAGGATAAGACATCCATCATGAGTAACACTTCGGGAAGTAAGGAATACGAAGATTTTGTTGCCGGCCTTGCTTGGGAGGTGAGATTAATTATCACATATCTATTTTAACATCAGTTTCCCTTGTAACTTTCAACGTACCACGGGTGTTTCCAGTTAAACTAACAAACCAAAGCACATGTTTAACATGATAGATACCAACAACATTTGAATATTCAGGCATTACATACATATATTTGCTCTCGGCCTGGAGTCGGTTCACTGTTTCATAAGGAGCCACGTTTCCATCCTCGAAGAGTGAACTGCTTAGCCAAAGTAAAGCCTCGTTTGAATGAACGCAAGGGCTCGATTCACATTGCTTCTACAATGATACTTTTCAAAGGTCGAGTTATCAACACACACTGGTTTCATGGGTGGTTTAGACAAGAATCAATCCACTGGCACCACGGCTGTTTACTACGCAAACTCAACCGTTGAAGTTATGTTTCACGTGGCAACAAGAATGCCCGTGTCCTCGGACGAAGGCGGATTCATCAAGAAAGTACGTCCGAAATTTTTGTTTTTTATCGATGATAAAAATGAACGCAACTTTTTATCAGCACTGATGACACGTATAAAGATAAGTTAAAACACATTGTGGAGGGTATTTTTTAAGATCTTTTACATTTCTACAAACTTATTGTGAAGAAAATGTGGATTTCTTTCGTATCGTGCTCGACTGAAGGTCAATAAGATGTGTTGTTATTTCTCAAGGTTCGCCATCTTGGAAATGATGAGATTTGGATTGTCTGGTCAGAACACTCGAGAGATTTCCGTCACGGCATTGTGAATGCAGAATTTGGTGATGTTGCTATTGCAATCTATCCTTTGCAGAATCATCTCTTTAGAATACAGATTTTAAAGAAAGGGGATGTAAGTTCGGCTTCATTTTCATCCCTACTCGGCATTTCAATTGACTGCTTAGTATGTTTAGCAAAGCAAAACAGATTTAGCACTCTTTTTTACAAGTAACTGAGTTATGATCTCTGGTCTATTATAGATTCCGTATTTTGGCCCGTTGTTTGATGGAGCGATCGTGGACCGTCGTGTTCTCCCGTCGTTGGTTCGTATGACGGCCGTCAATGCTAGCCGCGCTAAACGATCTCTCATACCTGGAATGCAGACTTTGTATCCTATATCTTACTATGTTGAAATAACATCACTGGATTTCATCATAGTTAAGCCATATGTAATTCGCCAGCTCATTTTGGGTTAGAAAACTTTGCAGTTTAGATTTTTAAGCATAGATTGCGGTGCCCGCGCCAAGTTTGGCACCGCATTATATTCTGCCTGTGAGTTTGTTTGTTCGCATCAATACGTTTCCTTAATCGCCAAGTAAAAATTCCTTGCACATACTTGGAATGCTTGGAATTTTTTCCTAATTATTACTATTAATCTTGTTGTACGTTTGGCAAATTCCTTTTTTAAAGGAACGTTCTTTTTTCAATTTCAATCTCAAACTCTGATAATTGCGTGTATCTCTGCTTTTATGCACCCAAGAAGGACAAAAATACCACCATTCGATTCAGCGTAAGAAATTATACTTACAGTTCTTAAACATATTACTAAACAAGAGTATTCGCAGCGATTTATGACGTTTGAAAGACAAACGAAATTGAATTGTTGACAAATCGCTCAAAATTACTAGGCTGCGGCCGACAGGAGAATGTAAGTTGGTGATGTCGTTAGAAATGAGCGGACGTTTTATTTCTAGACAAGCATTGCGGGCACCGCATTTTAGTACTGTGTCTGGTATTTCGTTCTATTCCTTAACGTTTTCTCAGCTACGAAGAGCGAGCTAGCTGCATCAGTAATATAGTTAATCATCACAAAGAAACGACGGTTTTCGAAGATTTCGCCGAAAAAGTGTTTTGTCCGGTCCCAAGAAAGTCGGAGGAAAACGAGCAAGTGGTTTCAATTTCGACGCATTTAATGCGACAGACTTCCGGGGGGGAGTCGCCCGCCGCGAAGCGGGAGGGGTACAGCACCTTACCATCGTCATCCAAAACTATCGCTAAAACTGTCTCAGGTAAGTATACTGTAACATCTCACAACTGTTCAGGCTGCAGTCTTCATAGAATAACAACGACTGAGGCTGTTTAACAAGCTTAGGGTTATCCTCCTCTGTACTGTTCGCCTTGGCCTGCTGTTTTCATTCTTTGAGTCCACTGATCTGAAAAATGCTGGATAATGCATTACCTTTTAAATTGAGTCGGCTAATTTAGGAGAGCGAATATTTATGAGTTGAAAATTTCAATCTTGCATGCTAAATTCTGTACAAACCAGGCTCTCAAGTATCCAAATTGGCTTCAACTTGTCTCCTGGGAAGTTTAACGTGTTTTGTAAATATATTGGTATACAGCTCAGGTCCTGGTCGTGTTTGCAAGAATTTGGATCAATGGTTCAACTAATCTCATGTTTATGCATGTACAAAAATGTACATGAATTGTTCAAATGAACAAAATTGCCATTCATTTCATCTGCAGATAGAGAAGCCATATCATCTACTGTCTCCTTACCCGAGGGGCTTCACAAAGTTATTCAAAGCGAAAACACTCTTCCAGCTCCAAAGTTGGGCGGGAAAAAATTGTCGTTCAGAAGAAAGCTAACTCCTTCGACCAAAGAAGAGAATACAGAATAGAAAGTTAAATATACGAACGAACATTCATAGCAATACATTTTAAATACAGCATAGCTATATATGTATTACGACAAGTGCAAGACGAAATTACGAACTTTGAAAAATTTGCCTACAAATTGGGTTTCTAAATTGATTTAAATGTAATAATGAATGTTTAGCTCTACACAAGTGTCTATTCTTTCTGAGTTTTGCACATTTATTAATGCGATGACACAATGACAAGGAAATGAATACTTAGTCGTCATTCATTTTAACGAACAATTCGTACAATTTAAAAGACAATCGCTGGCCAATCCTCGAGATCGTTAGTTGCTAACGATGGAATAATTATATTTTCAAGTTTGCTTCAAGCACCTGGCGAACGGCAATGTTTCCCTCGATTCTTTCTGCATTCGACAGAAAGAGTCGAAAACGAAGCGTAGGAACGACAGGAATTCTAGAATATTTTAGAGAAACGTCTCCAGACGCTCTTGACGAAGAGGTTTTGAAAGATTTCGAGAGGTACTTGAAAACAAAGCTTGATCTTGGTTCCTCGTTACCTTTGCTCAAAGCATTCGCAAGACGAGTAAGTTGACGTCGTTGTAAATAATAGATCTTGTGTATTCATGAGGACTACCATATGTACAGTACAATTCTATTTTATTCCCTTAGAAACGATTTGTTTAATGTTATATAAGCAAGCTGTGTAGCTTGTAAGTTAAATAGATATCTATAGTTTAATCGCTCCCCCGCTTTAAAAGCACTATTGTCGTTCAGGGGCCTGTTGTATCAAGCCCGTTTAGCTGAAACGGTGGATAAGTCAAAGTTAAATAACACTTTTACATCTTTCTTGAATGAGTCAACTTGAATATTATGCCCTGGATATGTAGTTCTAAACAGTATCTTTGTATTAAGGTTGAAAACATTCAGTTTGCTTGTTGAATAAAACGATAGACTTGCTTTCTATTTTGAACTTATATCCACTGTTTAAGCTAAACGGGCTTGATACAACCTGCCCCTGGGGCCGGTTGTTCGAAAGGCGTTTAGCTTAAACGGTGGATAAGTTCAAAATGGAAAACAAAATTATTTATTTATTGAACAACTGAGCTGAAATATTTCGATGTATATAGTTTAATTGTCAATGGAAAAACATATTAAATTCATAAGATGCAGGTTCAGTCATTCACAAGATTTATGAGAGTATTTTTATGTTAAAATGTTGGAAAGGCGTTTAGCTTAAACGGTGGATAAACCAAAGTTTAAAAATACTCTCATACATCTTGTGAATGACTGAACCTACATGATGCATTTAATATGTACTACCATTGACAATTCATCTATTTACATCGAAATATTTCAGCTCAGTTGTTCAATAAATAGATAATTTTGTTTTCCATTTTGAACTTATCCATCGCTTAAGCTAAACGCCTTTCGAACAACCGGCCCCTGGTCCAATTGACGCGAATGAACAAGAGCGTATTTAGTAAAGAAACAATCAGTATAAAGACAAAAGCCTTGTTTACGCTGCATGCAAAGTTTTGGCATGGAACGGCTAAAATCGATACCCGTACCAATTTCATCCTTGACTGGCGTTTGTATGGGTAGCCTGCATGTTTAGCCGTGTCGATAATTAGAGTGTGGTGTAAACGGGGCTTTATTTCTATACGTCGCACAAAATAAGTTATGGTTAAGGCAACGTTCACAGGGAATTTGGGGCCGTGCTCTATAAGTCGTCTGGTCGAAATTTCATCCATTTTTACCGTATAAACACCCGCACCGGACGAATTTGTGCGCCAAGACTAATTTCAATACTTCAAAATCATTTTACGCTTCGTTTAACCTCGGTAACCGGGATCATGTCAACAAGTCCCCCTAGTCCTAGTCTCCCCGGGCTATTGTGATAAAATCGCTCGAAAATTCCCCGTAGTTTGGAATTACTCGAATTAAACTTTAGTGTATTCTTAAAGTAGAGATTTTCCAAACCAAATGGACGCAATCGGCGTACAAACGAGGTCACCTCCGTACGGAGGGGTTGTATGAAAGCCGGATAGCGCTATCCACCCCCACCGCGGATAGCGATTTTTTCAATTGCTTCAAAATCACCCGTTTTTTGGTATAATTTTGATTAAATCTTAGTATTCCTAAATCGAGGATCTTCCGGCTCTAATAATTGTTCGTCCCCAAAGCTGAAATTTTATTGCATTTTCAATCAATGAAATGTTATTGCGTTTTTTAGAACTATTGAAGAAATCACTATTCACTTTCATAAAACCGGCTCCTGACTGAGACAGCAATAATTATCGGAAGCAAAAATTGAGTTGAAAAGGGATTTTAGGGGATAAAGAACAATATATATATACTTTCTATGCAAACATTGATTCCAAAACAAACATATGCACATGCAAAGAAACTCTAGCGAACTTATCCACATTGGGACAAACCTTTTTTTTTCTTGGAAGCAACCCAAAAAGTTTTAAATGAAAATTTCTCTGCCGGAAAATTGTGTTACAGCTTCGCACGACGTCTATTATGAAATTTTAAGACGCCGCGTGTATATAAACAATCAAATATATTCCCTGCAAAAACACCTGTTCAACTTTAACCGCGCTAGTGTTTGTAGCTACTGCTACTGTTGCGATGGAGAGACGAAACGTTTAAACACACTTAATATTCATAGCTTCACAATCGCGGTGTGTGTTATTTTAACAATTTCGTACCGCTGAGATGGGCTGAATCAATCTATTTTACCCAAAAAGCGAAGAAACACTTACTTCGAATATGGCAACGGCAAATTTTGATGATAATTTTCAAAGGGAACGCGCTAGACGGTTGTATGCGAAGCATATTTTAGCCGTAAGTACATCATGTTTACGTTGATGTGACAGTGCACTGGAAGCAGACATAATATTGGGGATATATAAGCATATTAACCTTGGCTTTACGCATGCAGTTTTCTTAATTTACATGGAAACGTATGAACTTGGGGTACAGCTAATTAGTTCACTTCCTAAGGGTTCCCTATAGAATTAGACTCAAGTGTTAGAATTAGACTATACTGTCTATAGGAAGCATATCTCCTGGAGTCGAGCTCGTACATAAACCTAGTTCATTGACAGCGAAGTTTATGCGAACAATAAAACATTAGATAAAATTGCATCCCAAAATGACTGATAAGGAATAGTTAAGACTTAATTATACGTCTGTTTATTGCAATTCATTGCGTATACGAACGCCAGGAATTGCTCAAGTGCTCGCCTGGCTTTAAAAAAACCAAAACTTTGATGATCAGAAATGCCTACAAAAGCGAATGACTTGAGTTTCTTTGAAGCGAATTAAAAGCGAGCTAGCTGATAACATACCGTCTTCATTGGACTATATTTGTATACAAATCATATGCTGAATTAACTGCACGGACTAGCATGTATGTTTGGATATTTTTTCATGAACTTGTTTACACAGCTTGTAGCTATATTGACAAAAGTTTTCATGACTTTCGTTGACATGACTGTTTCGTTGTTTCAAACGTTAGCTGTCTGGCATCAAATGAGGCTCAATAATTACTTAAATATCTTACAAACTCGACCTTCCATGCATCTTATCCTTCATCAAAAAAGTTAAACCGGCAAAATTAACTTAATCAGTGAAACGTCGAGAGGTTTTTCTGTTTATTTTATATATATGCAGAACGTATTTTATGAAGAGTCATTCAAAAGAGCTACTACACGATTCTCCGGTTATTTTGAACCTTAAAAAGAAACTAGTTTTTGCCCAAATAAAAAAAAGAGTTGATCTAAAATACGGTCGTACGCATAACACCTCCTGTATATATACACACAAACAAATCAACGCTCGCTAAAAACCTGTTCCTAGCCGCTTAACAGCTGACAGGCTCTCTGTATTTGATAAAGCGTTCATGCGTATATCTGATGTAGTCCGCTAGGAATAAGTTAATGGTTTATCTTTGCGTCCCTGTGAAAAATGATAGCGTCAAAGAACATTTTAAAACTCACAACCATTTCGACTGTTGATCTTACACAAGTGAATTTGCTCAAAAGGTGTCAACTTCGATACCTTTTATTACGAGAATCGTTTCATCTTTTGAATTTTTCTCGTCAAAGACGCTTTAAAACGTAAAACGTTTTTGGCGACGAAACTTGTCGAGTAGTAAGCTAATACCATTTGCTATTTCTGATGTGAATTATGAAACGGGCGATATTGATCGAGACGCGTGCCGGAGTCGTACACACGCTGAATTTGTCAACCATTTGCTTATCAGGTCAGGAAAGCCAAACCAAAGTTAGATACCAAAGATCCCACGGACGATAACTTTTTACAGAGAGCGAAACGAAAAAGGCAGCAGGTAAGAATTTATTGATTATACTATAGTTACCAACCTGGGGCCGGTTGTATCAAGCCCGTTGCTACCAAGTTTAAACCGTGGTAAGTAAAATTAAATTACACTCTTCAGTTACATCTCTCTGAAATGAGTCAACATGAATATTATGCACTGAATATGTAGTTGTAGATAGTATCTTTGTATTAAGGTCAAAAACATTTAGTTTGCTTGTTGAATAAAACGATAGACTTGCTTTCTATTTTGAACTTATCCCCCGTAATCTAAACGGGCTTGATACAACCGGCCCCAGACCCTGCAGACTTGCTCAGAGCACATATTTTGACACAAATTATGTTCTAACTATTATATTTTATATAAATAAATTGTCTGTTATATTTGTTACGTTTGTTACGTTATTTGTTATGTTTGTTATTGTTTGTTAATAAATTGTTATATTTATTACGTCCTCCTAGGAACCAGCAATGCCGAATTCGCTTAGCATGTAAATAATATTCAGCTATATCTCAGCATTATCTGATATATGTTGACGTAAATATCGCGAACATTTTAAACTGGTTGATGTGATCACAGTAATGTGATAGAATAGTGAACGTGCATGTGCGTGGTCAACAATGAGTCAATGACCAACTTGAATAGAGAACAGAAAGACAAATTTGCATACAGACTTTTTCACATCGGTCAAAATGACTTGTTAACGACCAAATATTATGTACGCGTTAGCCGAGTCAAGTTGACTATGGTAATAGCCTACGTTAAATATGCTAATTTCTCGTTAATTATTCAGTTTGAAGATGAGTACCAGTACACCGTGGATCGTCAAAATGAGGCTTTGTTGGAACGCCTGTTGGAGATCAGGAGAACAAGGGGCAAACTCGATAATTGGAATCCAAATTATCAACCAAAGTAAGAGGTTCTAAATTAGCCACGTTGGCAAACCAGTCCATCCAGTAGACGTTTTCAAATCAGCATCGCGACATTCTTACTTGTTCCCTGGCAAACAGGTGAAAACGTCAGCTGATCTGAGATGACGTCATGGGGCGCTTCCACTAAACTGAGTATTTTCTCCTCGTTTTTCCAACTTACAGTATAAAGAGCGGAAAATTTAAATTCTAATTTACAATTGAGTGAAAAACAAACGCGTTTCCCGGCACAAAAATATTAGAATTACTTCAAATTTTTCAGTGCCGAAGTCATATGAAATTAAAGAAATTATGATTCAGTTTTGTCGAAGATCTGGCCTCTGATTGGTTGACTGATATTTATACTAAGATCAGCTGGGATTCCCTCCAAATCAATTTGTGTGACATTGTAAAAGTCGTTAAAAGTCCTCAATACTCACACCTTTGAGCCTAATGTTGCCGTTGTATTAAAAACAACAGTATATGCAGTAAAATCCAGGAAGCTTGGAAAATTTTGCGAGTAAGAGGCCTGGGGCCGGTTGTATCAAGCCCGTTTAGCTTAAACGGCGGATAAGTGAAAATTAAATAACACTTTTACATCTGTCTTGAATGAGTCAACTTGAACATTATGCACTGAATATATAGTTGTTAACAGTATCTTTGTATTAAGGTTAAAAATATCTAGTTCGCTTGTTGAATAAAACGGCAGACTTGCTTTCTATTTTGAACTTAACCACCGTTTAAGCTAAACGGGCTTGATACAACCGGCCCCTGATGTAATAGCCCACCCGGGGAACGTGTCATCCCACTCTAATTGACTTAAATTTCTGTTTTGCAATTTAGATAACTTAAAACCTATATATTCATCTCTGCTTGTGCACTTCACAGGCAGAATATTCATAGAATTAAAAAGCGCGCGCCTGGGTTCATACGAACTCTATTCAATCTGCGCAATGCATGGCTAAGCGCTTTTTCCTGTCTTGGATACCGCGCTATCCATTGCAAACCAACGTTGTTATAGTCACCGCTTTTTTAATGTTTTATTCGTGCCAGCTATAGAAACAGTTGAAAGAAATGGGTATATCTTAGCCCGATTTGCCAGTCCGTTTCGTCTAAAATCCATACATTACATTCACTTCATTTTATAATTGTACAGTATTTTCTCAGAATTTTGCTACAAATCATGCATCGTTTCCAACATCGCACGCGCTTGAGTTTATTAATTGTCTTGTGAAAATCTTAGCAAACTCTCAAAACACCACTTCGAAATCTGCTCTGCGTGATCGTCAGAGACTCTACTGAAATCATATGCGATGATTGAGGACATTTTGCCGTTTACAGTGACGTTGAAATAACAGAACACACTTATCATGCGGTGAACCAAATTCCAAAACATACAACTGTCCATTTCGTGTACGAGATCAGTTGCACCCTCGTTAAAGTTGAACGATCCAGCGCTGGAAATGCCTGCGCAAAACGAAAGTCTATTCAATTCCACCTGTTCGCGGGGACTTAATATCTCGTTAAGGTATTCATTGGGGCTAAAAGATTGGCATGTTGCAATATGCTGATGGATAAACTCTTCGTCCTCCAAAGAGCTACGGATTTGTGCGGTTGATTCTTGAGCCAGTCGCCAAAATTCTTGCTCTTCTGTAACGTAATTTAAAAACACATAGCTGTTCAACGCAAAATGGCCAAGATAATCTTCAGGAAGGGGTGCAGGCTTGCAAAATGGCTTTGCATTGATGGCGAAAGAGTGTTTCAGTTTAAAGTCACGATTAAGTCCAGTATTTAATATCTTGCATAAACCAATATGAGCCGTGGCAAGCATAGCGCCTGTCACTGTACAATTATTCCTCTTGCAAGCGTTAATAATTTTACTCGTCTCGGCGTTCGAATATACTTTGTGTAATATCTTTGTTGTTGGACGTGGGGAAGCCGTCTGGTTTGATGGGAATTTCACAAAGAAAGGGTTTGTTTGTTTTGCCGACAGACAACTGCGTAGCTTTCGTCTATATATTAGTTTAGATATCAGAGAAAACCCAAACAAATCACAAAGAATTTTCAGCGGAGACTGTCTACCATTTTTGAGTAGTTGTGTAACGTCAGATTCCAAGGGCAACGGTGGTTTATATTTGTCGGATTTCATCGCAATATTATTCAGATTTTCTAGAAATTGTTTTGCAAATTTTATGCCGGAGACGCCATCGATGAATGCATGATTGAATGCAAAAACAAGAGTGTCTCTGTAACTCTCATCCTCAGCAATATATTCATCTTTCATTAAAACAACTCGCCAAGACAATTTGGTGAACGGTTTCTTTGATAGCTCGCTCCAAGCTTTGGTCCAGTCGCTTTGGGAAGAAACATGAAGGTCTATCATTTCAGGAATTTTATCTTCGCTGATCAACTTGAGATAAGTGCTTTGCTTGTATAGTCTAGCATTTTTGACCACCACAGCACGAAGCATCGGCTGGCGTCTTGCGAGAAGGATCAAAGCCTTTTCTACATGCTCTTTCAAGAGTTTTTTCTTGGATTTTAATGACAAAGCCAAACATAAAATGCCCACTCCGTCTCGGTTTTCATACCGCAGATAATATAGATCTTCGTAAATACCTAGAAACCTGCCACCGGTCGATAGGCCAGGATTAGTTACTTTCATTACCATTAGAAGAATGTGATATAACACCATAGTCAATACAGCGAAGAACAGCACCTGAAACACTGTGATTATGTGACCCATTTCCATTGCAGTTGTAGATTTACACACACGTGTAGCCGGGCGATAGACAACTACAAAACGCAGCGAAGCATATTAAATTAATATCAAGCCTTGTTCTCGTAACAATGCCATCGACAATACGGCGTTGCATTGAATGTCATTTTCAGGTATAATACATGCAAAGCATGACATTTGAAATAGATAACGTCACATGATGTCAGGCGGCAATATTTGTGTACCACTTCACAGTTCAAATGTAAAGTATTACCTACAGTTCAATGATGTAAAGCAATGATTGAGGTTATGACGTAGGTGTGAACCTATGGGTTTTCTTTTGAACGTTGTAACTCGGTTCAAACTCGTCACGAAACCATGAAGAAAGTTATCATTGCGCTTGGTGGGCAACAAGTGGCATTGTTTTATAGGTTCTGTGTATTTTAAATGTGATTGGTTCATTCGTGGTCACATGACTTTAAATAAAAGCAATGTTTCCCGCCAGGAAAACAAGTGAAAAATTGTTGCCCGCTTCTTGTCATAACAAAGTAAAGTGGGTTTCTTTTTTAAATGTTTTTTTTTCTATATAACAAAACACTTAATGTACACTACCTCGGGAAATAGTGAGTTTTGTTTTCCCTCGAGTCTCAATGTTTCCCTCGACTTCGTCTCGGGAAACATTCAGACTCTTGGGAAAACAAAACTCACTATTTCCCTCGGGAGCATACATTTAAGTGTATAAAGTTTACTTATAATGTTGGGGTCAGGTGTCAATTGGGACGCAAGTCCTGTTCCTTTCCTCTGTCACACTTATGTCCTCTGTTGTTTTACATGTGTTTGTGCGTAATAATTGTATTGTGTTGTGACAAATGATCAAATAAATAAAACAATTCATTGAAAATACATCAATAATTCTATGTCGTCGAACACTTTGTTTACAACACTAAACAAGTAAGAAAAAACTCAAAACAAATAAACAGCAACACTAAACAAGTAAACAAAAACACTAAACAAGTAAACGACAGCTTAAAATACGACTAATAAACTATTGGCGTAGTTTATTGCAATTTAATCGCAATTGTTTTCAAAATTTTATGCTGGAGACGCCATCAATGAAGATGTAACTCTCATCCTCAGCAATATATTAATCCTCTCATTAAAACAACTCGCCACGACGATATGGTGAACTGTTTCTTTGATAGTTCGCTCCAAGCTTTGGTCCAGTCACTTTGGGAAGAAACATGAAGGTCTATCATTTCAGGAATTTTATCTTCGCTGATCAACTTGAGATAAGTGCCTTGCTTGTATAGTCTAGCATTTTTGACCACCACAGCACGAAGCATCGGCTGGCGTCTTGCGAGAAGGATCAAAGCTTTTTCCACATGCTCTTTCAAGAGTTTCTTTTTAGATTTCAATGAAAAAACCAAACATAGAATGCCCGCCCCGTCTCGGTTTTCATAGCGCAGATAATATAGATCTTCGTACGCACCTAAAAGCCTGCCTCCGGTCGATAGGCCAGGGTTTGGTATGCGTTCTATATACGGAAGTTACCTGCGTCTGCGAAACCCTGCAAGGTTATTTCCGTCATATTGCCTGCAGGGCAAAAAAACTGGCTTCGAGCCGCGCCGGCCCGCGCGACCCACCACTGACTCACTGTTGTCGTACATAGATTAAACCCGACAATATTGTCGGGAAGAAGTATTTGGGCTAAAAACCCCGGAATACCACCAAACGATAGAGCTTGAAAAGACGATGTAAATGAGCTAACAGGTACGAGTAACCCGTAGCTCAACTGATAGCTCTCGTGTGCTGCAGGCTTAAAATGCATGCGATTTATTTATTATTCAATATTACACATCAAAGCGGCCTACTATATAAAATATTGCGCAAAATACAAACTAAAACGGTTACAGTGATTTAGTTCACATTTTCAGGATTATTTTGATATCTTTAGCGTCAAAATCGAGCCTTTAGAGGATTTTTGCTCATTTTTTTTATATAAACATGCATGATGATATGAATTATCACATCACCGGCAATACTATTTCACAATAATACAAACATCGAAAAAAAATCGGGCAAAAAAAGCCGAAAAACTGACCCCTTGGTCCAATTTTACATCAGGAATCGATTTTTAGGGTCAAATTTACTCTAAGCCTCGTTTACACTACACTCGATTTATTGGCACGGCACGGCTAAAATGGGTACCTGTGCCCATTTCATCTGTTCTCGGCCTTTGTTTTGGTAGCCTGGACACTTATAAAATTGGGTACGGGTACCAATTTTGG